AACGCTTCACTAGCCCATATATAATATACGGACACCCAACAACTACCTGCATAACACACCTAAAAGTGAAAAGGTTAACACTGGTATTCTGAAAACGACGTTATGCACATCTACTGTAACACGTCAATGTGCGACAAGCTGTGAGAGTCATGTGTCTTCGATTGGTACATGATGACCTCGTCGCGCTCTGTAGATCCGCCCTGCTCTGCCACCCTATCCATACGACTTGGGGAACTCTGTGCCACCACTTTCAAAGAGGAAATTTACTCGTTAATCCGATCCATACGCTTTGCATAGCAGTCTGTCAAAATGATTTTTGTTGTTTGAGAAATACTGAAAGTTTCAAAGAGATCTTCGAACTAGAAGTATTCTAAAATGTGAACAATACAACCCCGGGGGTACAAAATGACACCAGGGCGTACGGATAGGGTTAAACAGAGGGTGGGTTGTTGACGAATTCTCCGGTGTCGTTTGCTCTTTTGTTTTCCTGTATATCAAATATCTATCGTCCAAGTTGTCTCTCCACCCTTTTTTCTTGCAGTTGGTTGGAGGGCACCTCTGATAGGTCTTACTTCTTTTCATTCCCTCTTTTGATTCAGTGTGTCTCTTTTACCTTTTCCCTGCACTAAATGGTCGTTATTGTGTCGATGTACTTCTCGTTTCTCAAACAAACGAACAAACAAACAGTGGTGGGTGGTTGGCGGGTGCTCTGGTGTGGTCTGCTTCTTCTTTCCTATCAAATATCCATCGACCTTACCACTCCTTTTTGTGTTTATTACTCTCTTATAACGCCTCTAATCGTTGGACCTTATATTGCCTCATTGTGTTGCTAGTGCCGTAAAACACTTACTAAAACAAACAAACAAACAAGCAAAAAATTGAGTGAAGTTATCGAGAAGCCTGTATCTCAAAACGTGGATGACAAAATTGGCATAGATACACTCAAAGGAGGAAGAGCCTTTCTTGTACTAAGAGTTAAGCAAATCGGTCAATGTTTCACAGATGGGCCTTAAACTGCAAGCTGAGAACTAGATCTAGAGAGCGTTTGGGTTTGTCGTGACAGTCGTGTGTAGCGGGGTATCCTGCTTGTAAACTTCTACTTTTTCCTCGAGATTCATACTGGAGATACTGTTTTTATCCTGTATCCGTGTATTGTAGATGGTTATACTCAGAAGACGCGAGTTCGATTCCCAGGCGAGGAAGACAGTTGTTTTATTTAGAATCTCCGTCTAACTGGCGTCTGTGATGTAGTGTTTAGTGACATCGCTGTCGTACGCAGGAGAGTGAGCCAAGTTCAATTCATGAGAAGGGGAAAACTCTTATCGAGTATCTCGGTCTCTTTGTTGGGATGTTGTACAATGTAGGCTATCCCTCTCAGCCAGGGTTGGCCTAGGCCTTGATAGGTAGGATAGGAAGCCTGCCTCTCGAATGATCTATATTGTGTTGCTGGGGGCGTAAAACACCTACGCTACTACTGCTGTTTGTGATATTTTCCCCTTATATCCGTATATTGTGGGTGGTTGCACTCAAAAGACGTGAGTTCGATTCGGGCGAGGAAGGCTTTTATCGAGATTCTCCGTCTGTCTAGTGGGGTATTGTTTTCAACTCAGCCCATGTTAGTCCTGATAGATGGGGTCGAAGCTGCCGGCATCCGGAAATTCGGAAAGGGTTTAGACCTAAATTTTGTCAATGGGGGCGTAAAATGTTAGCAACCAGTCGTACCAGTTAGTGCCGAAATAAGACTGCTATGGCATCAACTCACCTGGGCCATAGCTTGGCGAGTGGGCATTGTTAACCTCCCTGTATTTTATGGTTGTAGAGCGCCAGTGGGAAGGTTTACTTCTGTCCCATCACTCTTTTTGTGTGTTTTCCTTTATTTCTTTTCACTGATTAAAACATCCTTGAGTGACCATTCCTAAGACATTGGACTCTGTTCCTTTGGTGGCAATGGGGGATCTGCTGTGTTTGTCTGTCTTGTTGATTTTCTTTTTCTTTTCTCACAATATTAAATAACCGCTATCGTGTCAAGGTTCTTTTGTTTGACTCTAACACAACCTTACACAGCCTTTATTGGTCCTGACATGCAGGTTCGAGGCAGCCAGCCTCCAAAATTATTTTAAATGTATTGATGGAGACGTTTAATATTCACAATACATGTAGGCCAAAGATACCGTCATTCTCACTTGTTCTTATTGTTTGTGTTTCCCCAGGAGACAGCAGTTCTTCATGAAGTTGCTGCGGCTGTGATAGAAAGACGGCTGCCGGACACAGTCGCGGTCCACGGCAGGTGGGACTGCTCCGATGGCACTGGACAAACGAGGAGTTTTCAGAATGCTAATTTTTTTGTGGACAAGAATTCGTTCATGGTGAATCTATATCTATGACTCGAAGCAGTCTTTAAAGACTGCGGCATATTGCCATAAACGCGGTTGTTTTATGATATGATTGTTCATGCCTGTTTTTATTTTTGATTTGCTCGTGTGCCACGAATGCATTGTTCAGAGAGCTGCTTCGTTTATTCACGGTGGTTGCATTGTTTAGTGTGCTGTGTTCAGTGACGTGTGGAATATTGTGTCTCGCCTGTTGCACACTGGAGTGTTGGAAATAGCAAGATAAGAGGAAACCAACTATGAACTAACGTGAAAACAACCAACTTGTGTCCCGCGCACTTGTATGACCTTATGCAGTTGAGAACGTTGTTTAATTCCTACCAGACCTAGAAGGAACCCAGGCAAGCTAAAAAGATGCAGTCATTTCTATGAATAGTTCTTACTGGATTAAACTGCTGAGCCTATTGTGTCAACTATGCATGAATCATGTCGTGTGTTTCTTCGCTCGCGCCAGACTCCTAGCAAATATTATATTTCTTTGAACAAGGTCGATATCTAATCTGATCAGGAGGATGATTGTTCATCGATAATTTATTGGAAGGGTTTGCAGTTTGTTCAGGCTTGTGGCATTCATTTCTACCCTCCTGCGTGAGACATCAACGTCCGTGGAGAGGGCGTTGTCTCGTTGGGTGTGTGACTGTATACGTCATCATGTCGTTGCTAGTGACGTCATGCACGATGGGTCAACAGCCCGACCGGCTGCTGAACAAGGGGCCGGACTATCTGCGCACGCGCACGAACAGGGGATTGTTTGGTGAGTACCCGGACTCTCGATTCGGGACTCTTGTTGTACTTGTATCTGTTTGTTTTGTTGTTGTTGCTGTTGTTGCCATTGTTGTTGTTGTTGTTGTTGTTGTTGTTGTTGTTGTTGTTGTTGTTACTGTTATTGTTGTTGCTGTTGTTGGGCGGGTGATTGAAGCATGCTTCTGGTAAATTGTTTTCCACTTTTTTTTTGTCTGTGTGCCTCTTCTGTTCCACTACACAAAATGATTTGTGAGTAGTTGGAGGGTGATCTGGTGTGATTTGCTCCTTCTTTCCTTTCCTATCAAACATATATATCGCCCTTATATAATATCTATGTGTATGTGTATGTGTGTGTGTCGGGGTGGAGGATAGAGCCTTGGTTCTTATGAGTTCCCCTCTTCAGTTGTTTTGGCACAGGTCTTCAAATTAATCATTGGAGCGGGTGTCGCGGCTGTGTGTGTGTGTCCCTGGCTTAGATAAGAATGCGTGATAGCATTCGCGTTCCTGTACATGGAAACGCCGAGGGCGACACGCACGGCCCGTCTGTTTCTTGTCTCTGGGAGGGAGGGGTCGAGAGGGGTGGGGGGTGGGGGTGTTGTTATTTTGCAGTGGCTTTCTCTGATTGTCTTTCGACTCTCCTCTCTTTTCTCACTCCTTATCTGTCTGTCTGTCTGTCTGTCTGTCTGTCTGTCTGTCTGTCTGTCTGTCTGTCTGTCTGTCTGTCTGTCTGTCTGTCTGTCTGTCTGTCTT